AAAACTGCCTCTTGCCAAAAAATTCAAGATGCCTCGTCCTACAAAATGCAAAAGAAAAGGAGCATAAAAATAGAAAGTCATGCAATCGGTGCACTTGATGGAGTCACAAAAAACATAGAATAATGGCACGGATTTGACCTGGTGCTTGTCACCAAATCTCTCTCATTGCTACGTCTCTCCGCGCGACCAATGCAGCCTTTGCTGACTAGAATGAGCCAGCATCAGATGAACCAAAAGCACTAATTTGAAAACCAGCTTTGCGCACATTCATTTTTCTATAAGCAATTCGTGAACGGACGTAACTCCATGCAATAGGGAGAGAGAACGCGAGTGTCCCACCCGAAAAACCGAAAGAAGAAGTGAGAAAGAAAAGTCAAAAGCTGAGTGGCTTTGAATAGATGGTGACACCACCACCTTCGACAGGAAACGGCGACACAGTCTCTCCCCCATTATCTCTTCCATGGAATCGGAACTCGACACATGAAAAAGAATGAATAAATTATCAAAAGAAAAGGAGAAAAAAGAAGAGGAAAGAATGAAGAACCAAGCACTTCAAGAAGATACCCTTTGCCTTCTGTCAAACAGAGAGAGAGAGAGATGGGCCAGCTCAGAGCTTTGTTTCAGTCCCAACAATTTGAATATGACTGCCATCATAGCGTTCATTGCCTTTTCATTCCATTAAGTTTGGTCTATCTTAAAATATTTCAGAACTATGTACAGAATATATGTACGAGTTACTGGGAGTGATACGTTGAGATGGTTTATAACGCTTATATGGAAACTATAGTCGATTATTTAAGTCATTGAATTCATATAAATATCTAATCGGAATTTGTAACACCGCTTTGCAAGCAAGTTGTGAACACCGATCTTCGAAATTCCAATGCATTTCTCATATATATATATATATATATATATATATATATATATTCTCCATGTGCCCCACTATTTAGGTATTTATGCTCAAGTACATCGTTTATTCTTTTTGCATATATTATCTTCGGGTGCCCAGCGTCTCCCTCCACCAACCTGCAACATGTAACTCAAGCTGGATCTTGTTAACGTGACTCTTTTGCGCCTTCCTTTTCGTTTTTCCGTCCTATTTCTGTTTGCAAAGATGTTTACAAGAAAATGACTACACGCAGTATCGAGTAGATTTCTCGCATCGTCATCATAAAAAGTTCATAAACAGACCGATATATCCAGAGGCCATTTCGGTGTAGTTGTTCCGTGCTGGTAAAGTGCTTTAACTCCACGCTTGATCACATGTTTTAAAGCTAAGAACCTTAAAAACCGGGTGAGGTGACGTACTGAAAACTGCTACAAGGTGTTGCAGTTCTGGAAGCGATGCAATTATAAGAGTGACAACATTCCCTTTTTACGGTTGAAACTTTTGCGGGAAAATTGTGTCCGCAGCACATGTAGAAGATTTGAATAGAGAAACCTCTGTTTTGTTCATTGAAATTCACCATCCTTGTGATCTAATCTTCATATATTGAAGTCGTGCTCCGCTCTCGTCCGTCGACGGCCCTAATTACAAGACCAAAGTCCAATCTTGTTGATTCAATCCTCCTCAACTCGGCAAATTCCGAAGGGCTTCTAGAGCAATTATAAAAAGGAGACACCGGTTAAGCACCCGTTTAAGGAAAATCTGCAATTTCACATGGGGTATCTTTTTCCTTTCGTGTAATCAATGTATCAAAAATTGAAATATTTTCTTGTTAAGTATGGTTATCAAGTACCCCGAAGAACTCGTTATTACAACCCGATGTACAATTGGATTATTAGTTTGAGAGCATTAGAGTAGTTGAAAAGATAATCTAACCAGCAGACTGGTCAAGGTTATGAGTAGGATCTGCTTTTTGGGAAATCCATTTTCGTTTTTTTTTCTCTAGGTTTGTGGTATGGCTCTGATTTGGGTCATCATTTACTTGCCACTTCGCATTCTCTGATATTATCTTCTGTCGTCCGAAGGCTTATAAGTTCAAGATTTATTGTTTCATGCACCAATTCTACTTACAATAATTTTTTTGTAATTTTCAAATTTCATATATATATATTTCAAAATGGAACTTCCAATCATATATAATTCTCTCAGTATATTTTTGAAAATCAATTCTTTTATTCATTTATGACTCTCAAAAGAAAAGTTATGACTTCAGTTTGATGTTATACGAATGGATTCTGCAATAAAGTTACTGTAGGTGTGAACATCTATATATGTTCTGCAAATTGAATTGTTTGATATTAAATGAAAGTCAGACCACTTGCATTTTTTTTATTGGTACATGTTCAAGACTCTATTGACTATTGAGCTTCTAATTCCCCTTTAGAATTAGGATAACAATCGACCTAAATACTTGATCCCTCATTAATCATTGCAGGGGCTGACACTTGGACAGTTGGACTCAATAATCAAGTCACTGATTGATGCTTTGTGATGGCATAGATACTGCATGTTCGATAAATTAATGCAAAAGAGTGTTGAAGAAAAAGCTTCTTAATATGTACAAACTAGCAAGATGCCGGTGCATTGAACGGGATTAAAGTTATGTGTCATATTATTCTAAGTATTGGTGTCAGACATGAATCTTTGTAAGAGTAATAATATGTAGAAAACTGTAACAAAATAAATATCCACATCAATCAAATTTTCTGCTAGAGTTCACGTGAAGTTTGTTGAAAATGGATACGAATTTCACAATGTAGGTATGTCCTCCCATGAAAGGAAAAAATAAGACAAAATTGCAATATATATTGAATCATATTATAAATACATATAATATTTCGAACAAGTAAGATAATATGAGTAAAAAAAAAAAAGAACGTGAAAGCCTAAAGCAAGAATGTTAAATTCTCCCTCTTGAAATTTCCTCAATTTGTCTGAATCCTTACCTTTGTGCCATCGATTTGGTGTGGAAATTGGTAGCAAGTCATTTGCTGGGAGTTGAATGATATCTTCTCTCTTATCTATATGCACTGTTGGGAGCGCACAGCAGAAATCCAATACCTTCATCCAGGGAGATTGCCAAGAGGGAGCTTAAGTTGGACCCACATTTACTCAAACGTTCAAACCAATAAGTTATGGACCAATTATGATGTATATTAATTACTCTACATCACATTAATTTCCTGATGCAGGACTTTTTAATGTAACTCATACGTGCATCCTAACAATCTCCTCCTCATGTGTGAACTTGGTACTAGGTCCACTCTCGTTTAATCCAAGTATCCTTTTGCATCATGATATCTCAGCATAAATTTCCATCAACCAACTTCATCCCTGGTCTCTTTCTCCATAGTGAACCATGAAATTTGCCAATGGACCTGAGGTGCTACACCATGACGCCCACCACCCGGAAATCGCGTTGGTCACCGGATTCATTCTTCAAGATATTCATCAAATATTGAAACTAATCGGGGGCCCACTAATCTACCATCGGCTCTGATACCATTTGTTGGGAGCGTGTTGCGGAAGCCTAATACTTTCACCCGGGGAGACTGCCAAGAGGGAGCTCGAGTCTAAGTCAGTCTACATATCCAAGTGGACTTACCTTCACTCAAAAGTATAAGTTAATGAATTGTGGAGCCAACTAGGATTATATTAACTATTTCACACTGCACAATTCTCCGATGTGAGACTTCTCTAATACAACTCACACATGCATCCTAACAATGTACTTCTCTACTTATAGGAACTTAGGTGATTTCTTCAAAATTATTTTCAATTTCATATATTTCAATTTTTTTACGGAATCTTGTGGTAACCATTTGATGTATTTTCTTTTATTTGTTAAGAGTTGATGGATATATCATCCATGACAACGTATCACATTATTGGACAAATAGTATACACATAATAATTTAAATAAGATATAGCGTGTGAGGTTTGTGGCACCATTGCAACAATTTTATAAGCTTAAGCTAGTATATGAACGAATAGTTTAATATTTTAAAACTCTAATACTCTCTCTCATGTTTAAGCTAGATTTTGAGGAGGCAAATAAAGGGTCTGGAAAGATTTGAACTCACGATCTCCTATTTTGGTAGTGGTCTCACAAATTCTCAAATGAATGCGTAGCATATGAACATGTATTTTAATATTTAAAAACTCTAATACTCTCTCTCATGTGTAAGTTAGACTTTGAGAAGGCAAATAAATGGTCTAGAAATATTTAAACTCAAGACTCTTTGGTAGTAGTTTCACAAAATCTCACATGGGGAATATATATGATTTGGAGTAGCTGATATATCTTAGTTGGCTTTTCTGTTAAGTGCTCCCAACATAATGTACATGATTTACCAGGATATATTAAAAGTAGGGTAAAAGTCACCAAAATCCCTAAACTATGCCCACTATGACACATTTACTGTAAACTTTTTTTCATGACACAAAAAATTCCAAACTTGTACTTGTGAGACACATTTATCCTCTGTCAAAGTTTTGTCATTGAAAACCGTTAAAAATCTGTTTACATGGACGCCAGAAAGTAAACCGTGTTGACAAGGCGCCCACGTGGCTTAAGTGAAATAAAAACAATATCGTTTTGGCTGAAAAATCATCTAACGGAACTTTGCGGAGGGTAAATGTGTCATATAGGTATAGATTTGGGGTTTTTTATGTCACAAGATTAAATTTAGGGTAAATGTGTCACAGTTGGCATAAATAATTGAGGTTTTTGATATCACAAAAAAAGTATCATAATTGACATAATTTGACGTTTTTGATGTCATAAAAAAAAAGTTCAGGATGGGCATAATTTGAGTTTTTTGTGGCTTTTTTCCTTAAAAGTATTATGTAATGGACAAAATTTGGAACCGAGAACAATGGTTTGGATAACTTATTCACTACAAATTTCTCTCCTTGTGTACTTTTATGGAAAGAGACTATAAAGTCATTATAATTGACATTTTTTGTTTGGGGGTTGATTTGAGTATTGTCACAGTGGTAGAAGCTCAAAGGCTTTATATAGAATCATGACCCCAACCCATATTTCTGCTTCTCGTGCCTTCCTTCACTTTTCAATCTCACATCACCCACTTCTTGCATGTGACTCTCTCTCTCTCTCTCTCTCTCTCTCTCTCTCTCTCTCTCTCTCTCTCTCTCATAGCTTCAAAGCCATTCAGAACATTTGTGTTTTTTTTCCTTCTTTGAACTTCTTCGACTCCACCATTCTCTTTCTCTTCTTCTTCTTCATTTGCCTGAAATGATGCAAATGCCTCCTCAGCAAGAAACCAACCTCGCGGTCGTCGTCATCCCGAGCCGCAATGAAAACAACGTCTCGGTCCACGCTGAGCCCGCCTTCCCCTCAAGCAATGTGAGCCCATCCCCGTGTGCCTCGCCCCCCGATGCCGACGAACCTCCCGCTCCTGTCAAATTCTCGTTCCTCCGCCGGTCACTATATCCCGTCACTCTCAAGGTAACTCTCTCTGTGAATGGTTGCACTCAAGGATAACGTACTCTCAAAAGTTTTGCAACCAAAATCGAGAGAAACGATAAAGAAAATATATTTAGCCTCGTAAACGTCTTTGCAGTTTGAAGACGTTGGCTACAACATCAAGCTTCAGACCAACAGGAGCAACTGTTGCGCCAAGAACGAGCCCAAACTGACCCGGAACGTCCTGAATGGTGTCACTGGCATGGCCCGGCCAGGGGAGCTGCTCGCGATGCTTGGGCCCTCTGGGAGTGGCAAGACCACCCTCCTGACAGCTCTTGCTGGCCGGCTGCCTGGGAAGGTCACCGGCGCCATAACCTTCAACGGCCACCCATTCTCGAGCTCGGTCAAGCGCAAGATCGGCTTCGTCTCACAGGATGACGTTTTGTACCCCCACTTGACCGTCCTCGAGACGCTGACCTTTGCCGCCCTGCTGAGGCTGCCCAAAGAGCTCACCCGCCAAGAGAAGGCCGAGCAGGCTGAGATGATCATAGCGGAGTTGGGCCTGGCGAGGTGCCGGACCAATGTCGTGGGTGGGCCGCTGGTCCGTGGTGTGTCGGGTGGCGAGCGCAAGCGGGTCAGCATCGGGCTTGAGCTGCTGGTGAACCCCAGCCTCCTGCTTCTGGATGAGCCCACCTCGGGCCTCGACTCAACCACAGCCCAGCGGATTGTGGCCCAGCTGCGGGCGCTGGCCCGGGGCGGGCGTACCGTGGTGACCACCATCCACCAGCCTTCGAGCAGGTTGTACCGAATGTTTGACAAGGTGATCGTGCTGACGGAAGGGTGCCTGATCTACAGTGGCAGCGCAGGCCGGGTCATGGAGTACTTTGGGTCGCTTGGGTATTCGCCTGGGTTCGACTTCGTCAATCCGGCCGATTTCCTGCTTGATCTTGCTAATGGTATGTGTTCGTGTCCTTTTCTGTTGAAGATTTCATTTACTGTTGCATTGCGTTGTATGTCTTTAGGGGATAAGCGTGCATGTTAAGTTTTTTTCCTATCTAAAAATACAAGCTTTTAGAAAACTTAAAGAGGTATGATTTGGGGATGAACGCGTGTAATATTCTTGCTAGCTTCTTTCATACTTCATTGATGTTTTATTTAGTTAATGTCCTCTTTTTTTTTTCGTTTTTTCTTTCTATTTTAATTACTTAATGTAAGGAGGAACAGTGTCTCAAACCCAAATCTAGTGAAGGTGAAAAGTAGCCTTCATAAACCTGGAGGGCCCTCCTCTTGGGTCTATACTAACATGTTTCTTGCGTACCCTCAATAGTGTATTAGAATATTGTTTTCTTCTTCGGTCACATTATTAGACTTAACTATAAACCTGGAGGATGCCTTCAAGTAAAAAGAAAAAATTAAGCATGATTATTTGTCAAGGTCGCATAGCAGATATCAAGAAATCAAATGAGCGAAAGCATAAGCATTACTAATATAGAAAAAGTTCTAGTTTTGCCCACCCGCAGCATATGGAGCCTTACAACGTGGAATTGCTCGGTCCGGTGTTATTATCTCAAGCATGTTGAGTATTAGTTTAGACAGTAAAGCCGGTTGAATTGCTTGGGATGATCGACTTTTGAGTCCTTACTGATCAAGCATTTGCCTCCATCATAAAAAGGCCGCGATGGACTGAACAAGCAAATAGCAAACATATCTAAATGCTTCTGCAGTGGAGGGCATCTGATTGTTGCACATAATTTTTTCCCCGAAATAGAACCATACTTGTTTGACTTGTCTCGAGCCAGAGTGCGAGTTTCTGATAAGGTGCAGAAATTATGTAGCTGTTCACTGAATTAGACGTTTATTTTACTGCAAATTATATCCTGCAACCCAATTGACTTAACTGTCTACATTGATATGTGATGGAACAATGTATGTGGTTTTCGTTGTGCTTTTATTATCTGATTATTATCTAGATTTAGGCATAGAATAATAATAAGCTGAGCTGGTCAACCATATGTTCTACTATCTTTTTGGCACTCTGAAAGGTTACTTGGCTCCTTTTTAGATGTTGTTAAGCCTTCAAGCAATGAATTTGTTTCACAAATGTAGGTATTAAGCCAGATTTGAGGCATGATGATCAGCAGGAATTTCACAGCAAATTGGAGTATCCCGACGAGCAGAACTCCATCAAACAGTCTCTCATATCATCATACAAAAAGAACTTGTATCCTGCATTGAAGGCAGAAATTCACCAACATTCTCGAGACCAAGATACACATCCGTCAAGGAAAACGTCATCTCTCAGAAGTAAGTCACATCACCGATATAATAGATGATCTGTTTATCCGGAAAAAACTGAGGAAACATGAAGCAGCCTAATGAAACTAGTAGAACTCAATTATTCTGCTTTGCAACGCAGGGAATGAGGGCTTCTGGACGACATCCTGGTGGGAGCAATTCAGGGTGCTGCTCAGTCGAGGTTTACGGGAAAGGAAGCATGAGTCGTATTCGGGTTTAAGGATCTTCCAGGTCATGTCGGTCTCCGTTCTCTCAGGTCTGCTTTGGTGGAAATCTGACACTTCACATATACAGGATCAGGTAGTTCTCCGTCTTGCAAGATCATTCTCTTTTAGGAATTTCAAGGAGTGACTTCTTATTGCTACTAGGATGCTCCTCCTGTGTCATCATGACCGGATTTTATGACAGATTGTGTACCGTCTAATTTCCAAAGAGCAGTTGGTCATTAGATTTCCAATCTTGCAGTATGAAAATTAGAATATTGTCGAATTGATCAGAGTGAAATCTCTCCCCTAAAGTGAACATGTAGGGTTGCTTTAGTTGTAGCTAGTTAAGATTTTCTTTCTAAACTTTGAAAGCCCTGTTACTGATCCTTAATCTTGGTTTGTTAATGAACAGGTTGGGCTACTCTTCTTTTTCTCCATCTTTTGGGGATTCTTTCCTCTATTCAACGCGATCTTCGCATTCCCTCTAGAGCGGCCCATACTCATAAAGGAGCGGTCATCGGGCATGTACCGTCTCTCGTCCTACTATTTTGCTCGGATCGCTGGAGATCTCCCAATGGAGCTCGTGCTCCCCACTATCTTTGTGACGGTCACCTACTGGATGGGCGGCCTCAAGCCATCGCTAGGGACCTTCGTGCTGACGCTCTTGATAATCCTCTTCAACGTGCTCGTGTCGCAGGGGCTTGGGTTGGCTCTCGGGGCGATCCTAATGGACGCGAAGCAAGGCACGACGCTGGCTTCAGTCACGATGCTCATATTCTTACTTGTGGGTGGGTACTACATACAGCACATCCCGAGCTTTATTGCCTGGTTGAAGTACGTTTCTTTCAGTCATTACTGCTATAAACTGCTTGTGGGAGTGCAGTACTCCTTGAACGAAGTGTATGATTGTGGAGCTGGGAGGCTATGCAGAGTCATGGATTTTCCGGCGATTAGTTGCTTGGGGCTTGATCATTTGTGGTGGGACGTGGCAGCTTTGACCGTGATGTTGGTGGGCTATCGACTTTTGGCCTATATAGCACTGAGGGTTAGTCAACCACACTAACCGGGCGGTAACAGAGGATTATTGTTTTACAGGTGTATTTGTTAATTAAGCTACAGGATTATTGATAAAGATCATATTATATCTGACGATCGAAGGTGATAGACCGATATTGACCGTCTTATGATTGAAGTTGCCATAGGTTGAATATGATAATTGTAAATTTGATTATAAGGGTTTAAAGCATATATCATTCTCTAAACGTTTGAGTTCTCTGTTTTTGCTATTTTACAACCATGATGATTGATTCGCAACTGATTCAATCCTAGTCCCGTATCCACATTGCGCGGGTGAGGGAGATAGATTGATTTTGCATAAAAAAATCATCTCAAGATATCCATTTTGGAAAAGTTTCAAACTCAAGACTCTGTTGGATGTTGCCCCCCTTAGGATCATTTCCAAAGCCAGATATTGACTGTTGTTACTTGAGGTGGGTGCAGAGAGATCACATGGGCTCAGGTGACTCGCTTGGCCCCAGTCGACCTTAATACAGTGTTATCATTTTATTCCTACGTGTAATCTGTAATGCAATGGTTCATGTATCACGTGTTCACCAGTTTTGCTGGAATAAGCATCCCAATGATGCTTAAGCAAAGCATCTGATGCAACCCTGAGCCTACGGATAACAAGTGCTCCTTCACTGAGCAACCAATGGTTTTGGTAAAAGCCATGGTCTTTGTCGCAGATCGTCCATCTACATGTCTACTTTGAATTTGTTATCTGTGAAACCTTTACTTAATAGTTAATATTTGGATTGGATTCTCTTAACAATGAACATGGTATTGGGGAAAGTTTTTCTTTCTTTGCATTGACATGTTCTTGATGTGGGTTTTCTTATCGATTTTCTTTCCATCCTAGTTGCTAGCAATTCTTATCTCACCTTATTTTCTAGTTTGTACGAGAAAGAGGACAACGCTGTTGTATTTTCCTCCAGGGGCAATGTTCACATTGATTCCGACGAGGTAGTCACCTCCAAGTAGTATCTCAACAGTTGGTAGCTTTTGCGCTACATTCCGCTCCATTCAAGGACATCATATACGGTTTGAGCTTCAAAAATCAATCCATATCGGTGACACCTACCGGTAATTTTTAGCTTGTGACTCATCACCTTGTTCAAACCCGTTGCTCCAAAAGGGAATAGTACATAATATTCCTGATTTCCAGAATGGGCCGGACTCTGAGTTCATTTCACATGGATGCTCACTTTGCGTATTGTTTTGTTATGCTCTGTCCTCTCTTTACATTATATCGGCAGATACTCTCAGAAACTAGTTTTGAGGGCAAAAAAATCTTTACAGTATCGATTCATAATAGATTTAGATGTTGAAGTATATGCATTCAGCACTAAAATATGCATTTGTTGCATTAAGATCATCAGGGAGTGATGGTAGCAAAGCATCCGATGCTATAGCCTAATTATGCTGTCGAGATTGGTTATTCCTATTCCCTTAAAAGTTCAACATTCTGTTGGTGATTTGCTATGATTCTAATTCCACTTCTTGATGGCTGCCTATTCTACTGTTGTTCAAGTAAGTGTATATAAAGGAGGTTATGTGCCTCCGCTTGGCAACAAGAGAAGCATTAACAAAAGAAAACTGCGTAGTTCAGTGCCAGTAGTTTCGAAGACGATGGCATCAGTGAAGGCTGAGAAAACAGTGGGCACTCAACTTTTCGGGCAGGTAAAGAAGGAGCCGGCCAAGGTAGATGGACCGTCGAAGAGCTCTTCCAAGAGCTCTTCCAAGTCATCTGGTTCGAAGAAGGCTTCACCAAAGCCTCAAGAACCTAAGAAGAAGGTACTTCGAGCGTTAAAATTCTTTTGACAGTCCTTTTTCACTGTCTAAGAACAAGAGTTTCTCTGACGACGATATTTAACAATATGTTGTTTCGATTGTGGTATACAGGGGAAAGGAGGAAAAGCAGCAGCGAAGCACTGATCCTTTTGCAAGAACACTATGAAGAATTAAGTTGATGTTTTTGCTTTTTATGTTGCGTGAACCACGTGTTGTGACGGCGTGATCGGTGGTTTTCTGTGTTTCATATTGTGATATGGCTTGTTGGAAATAACAATTGAACTCGACAACTTATTAGTATGCAACGAGCCATTATCTTTCTGCAGTAGCTAGCATACCCTTTCAGTAGAAATTCGGCAGGAACATCTACGAGTGACTAAACCATCAGTCCATAACCTTAATGGAATGAGCAGGACACTGGGCTCCAACACGAATATCAAAGGATTGTAATAAACAGCGACTGTGATGGCTCACGGGACCTACAATTGAACTGCAAATCGCAACGAAGAAAAGTTTCGTGCAAGTTTCACTTGGAGGCAGAAGCAGAGAAACCCATGATCTATATTTTTCTGTGGATTTGCTTCGCGAGAAAAGAAAGTAGAGAAAAAATCAATCTCAGTAATGTGAATTAGGAAACTACTCAACGAGCTTCTACCTCTTCCGTTGGAAGAAGCAAAGCTTTTTGACAAAGAAGTTGTTCTCCTTGCAATTGGAAACTAATCAACGAGCTTCTACCGCCGGCGGCGGTGGTCGGTGGCTGAGCTCCACCTTTTCATTTTTATTTTTATAAATATCATCAAAATTCCTTTACAAAATATGGTTTTTACCAAACGATATTTAGGTCAAAGTTGCTTTCAAATGTGATTTTAAAATACACTTACCAAATACTACTTGCATTTCGAAAAATCTTTTAGCCCAAAGGCCTTTGCATTTTGCCAAAAGCATTCCTCCAAAGTTGAACCAAATGGGGCCTTACAAGGCATTGGGTTGAAGACAATCCATCAAGCACATTGATCGCGATGTAGAGCACCGAGTTCAAATTTGCTTTCTCATTTGAAAGCCGAGACAAAAGGAAAGGTCACAGATATAAAAGATTATTATACGTTTTGTCCGTACAATACGAGTTCTTCCTACGGAATAGAGTACCCGATCCTACCCAAATTCCAAGGGGCCATAAACCAAAATTGTGTTGTTATTCAAGCCACGCTCCTTTCTATCTACTAAAGATGTACACATCCTCGTCGAGAATATATGTTATTCAGGCAAATGAAACCTGATGAACTAATTCTCCAAGATTTTTCTGTGCAAATACATAAGATTAGTACATCTAAAATGAGGAGCAGCAATTATTGCACCAGTGACTAAAACTGTCCGAATCTGTCTTCAGAACGGCTTGCTGACGGCGGCTTCTCATGGCGAATGACTAGGAACAGTCACACTTAAAAGTGTGACTTGTGAAGGTTCCAAGTCAACGGACCCCCTTTTGCACTGGCTTATTTTGACCATTCTTGTCTGGCCTTCCATTTCATATGTCAATTCATAAATACTCGAGTCCCCTCTGAGTTCTCGAGCAAATCACGGTCCATCCATGGCCAATTGCACTTTTTTCCATCTTCGTCTTCTTCTCCTCGTCCTGCTTTTTTCTTGTCAAGAAGTTCAGAAGAGATGTGCGTGGGGAAGCCAAATGGTGAATCGTGAACAGCATGACAATTATGTTGTCGAAATGAAGTCGCTGATGCCGGAAACTACTTGCAAAGGTCTCCTTTTCTATGTTTGTTACTCTGGGTCATGTTTCGACGTTGCTAACTGCATATTATTGAATGATGATGACAGACATGGTCTCCAGATTCAACACACTATAAGTATAATTGATATAATGATTCGGATTGATTGCAGATCAAGCAAAGGGACTGTTGGGAATCGTACACCAATTCCAAAAAAATAACCCAAGCAAAAGATTCTCATTAGCAGAATATAATAATAAAAGAACATAATCGAAAGAACATACTAGAGAATTTATTATCGAAGTTCACCCAAACCTGGGCTACGTCTTTGCGCAAAGGCACTCTGTGAATCCACTAGACTTCGAAGAAAGTAAGAATACAATGATGATCTTTTCTCAAGATCGGAGTACAAAGAGATTGAGAACACTTACAAAAAAAAAACTCACTTTTTCTTCTCTCTTTTCTTTTCTCTCTATTTTCTTCTCAGCGCTTGACAGCTAGCTTTTATCAATAGCTGATATATAAAGTGTAGCTTTTAACCTAAAAGCCCAAAATTATTAGAAAAGACAAAAAAGCCCTTAAATAATAATATTTGGCTTCATCCTCAAACCATCTCTCACTTGAAGATAAATACACCCGATGCACCAAGCAACTTTGCATCGATCTACTTCAAAAGCTAGTAACTAGAACTCGTGCTTCTGCAATACTCCTCATCAATTAACATGGAGTAATACCAATGATAGTAGTACAGAAAATAAGTTTCTCTATGTTGACTACCTTGGTAAACATATCAGCTAGATTCTTCGAGTCATTAATCTTCTGTAACATTAACTCATTATCTTTCAATGCTGACCTGATGAAATGATAACGCTTCTTGATATGTCTTGTCCTTGAGTGATAAGCTGCATTCTTTGCTAAGTGTACTGCACTTTGACTATCACTCCACAGTGTGCTCATTGGCTGCTTTCGATGTAACTCCTCCATGTAATCTTGTAACTACACGATTTCTTTTGAGGCTTTCGTGATCGCCACGTACTTTGCTTCTGTCGTTGATAGAGCCATTACTTTCTGTAGTTGAGACACCCAACTCACTGCTGTACCTGCAACTATAAAGACATATCCAGTGGTACTCTTACCGCTATCTCGATCACCCGAGTGATCTGCATCTACATAACCCTGCAATTCTAGATATGTCCCTCCATAACAAAGAGAGTAATTTGATGTACATGCTAGATATCTCAATATCCATTTTACTACATTCCAATGCTCTTTGCTTAGGTTCTGCAAATATCGACTCATAACTCCCACTGCTTGTGCAATGTTTGGTCTCGTGCTTACCATGGCATACATTAAACTTCCCACTGCTGATGCATATGGGACTGTTGCCATCTCATCTTTCAAAGCCTTAGTACTGGGACACATATCCTTAGAAAGTTTGAAGTGACTCGCTAGAGGAGTCGCAACCGGTTTTGCCTTATCCATGTTAAATCTCTTTAACACCTTCTTCACATAGTCTTCTTGCGACAACCATAATTTATTATTTTTCCTGTCTCTGATGATTTTCATGCCTAAGATATTCTTGGCCTCTCCCAAGTCTTTCATAGCAAACTGCGATGCCAACATCTTCTTCACTTTTGCAATTCTCTTCATATTGGAACTAGCCACCAGCATGTCATCCACATATAAAGAGAGACATACAATATCACCATCGCTATACTTGCGAAAATAAACACAATGATCAGCTTCACAGTGTGCAAATCCTTTTTCTTCCCTGAAACCATCAAACTTTAAATACTATTGCCGCGGAGCTTACTTCAAGCCATACAAGCTTTTCTTCAAGCGACATACCATGTGCTCTTTACTCCCAAGTCTTTCATAGCAAACTGCGATGCCAACATTTTCTTCACTTTTGCAATTCTCTTCATATTGGAACTAGCCACCAGCATGTCATCCACATATAAAGAGAGACATACAATATCACCATCGCTATAATTGCGAAAATAAACACAATGATCAGCTTCACAGTGTGCAAATCCTTTTTCTTCCCTGAAACCATCAAACTTTAAATACTATTGCCGTTGAGCTTGCTTCAAGCCATACAAGCTTTTCTTCAAGCAACATACCATGTGCTCTTTACCTTCGATCTCAAAACCTTTAGGTTGCGCCATGTATAACTCTTCATCTAGGTCCCCATGTAAAAACGCCGTTTTCACATCCAATTGCTCGAGATGAAGATCCTCCACCGCAACTATACTCAGCAAAACTCTGATTGATGTCATCTTTACTACTGGTGAAAATATCTTGGAGTAGTCGATTCCTTCTTTTTGAGAAAGCCCTTTACCACAAGTCTCGCTTTGTATCTGATACTACCATCAACTTCATTTTTTATTCTGTACAGCCACTTATTTAACAATGCCTTTTTACCTATGGGCAACTCGGTCAACTCCCAAGTTTTGTTCTGAAGTAACGAGTTCATCTCGTCTTTCATAGCACGCTCCCATTGCATGTGAGATGTGTCTTTCTTTGCCTCATTACAAGTCTCCAGTTTTCCCGAATCTGTATATAAGACATGTCTCAGAACAATATTAGCTAATGGATCAAAAATTACCTTTGGCTTTCTCACGCGTGTAGACCTCCTCAAGACAGGTGCTTCAGGGTCGTTAGCCTGTTCTGGATCACCGCGTTCTTCTTGAATTGCCTGTTCATTGATAACCCCTTCAGGGGCATTTTGATTCGTTGGAACTATTTTCACAGGTATTGTGTCCATCTCAACATATTCTGGTTCTACTGCCTTCTCATACTCTGTTTGATAATACTTCTACATCTTTTCTTCATGGAATACCACATTCCGACTGTGGATGACTTTGTTATTCTCATAATCCCAAAGTCTATAGTCATACTCATCGCCACCATATCCGATAAAGACACACTTTTGGGATTTAGCATCAAGCTTCTTCCTATCCTCCCTATCAATCAGAGCATATGCAATACAACAAAAAACTTTTAAATATGAATAATCAATCTTTTTACCAGACCACTGCTCTTGCGGTATTTCTCCATCCAACGCACTAGATGGACTCCTGTTAATAAGACAAACAGCTGCATCAACTATAGCAGCCCATAAGTGTAGTGGAAGACCCGCGTGTAGCCTCATGCATTTTGTGCACTCCAAAATAGTCCTGTTCATCCTCTCAGCTACATCGTTTTCTTGAGGAGTTCTAGGAATAGTCTTCAACCCATGTATGTCTTCTCGGCTCAAGTATTCTGCAAATTCCTTTCTCGTGTATTCACCACAATTATCAGACTTTAGAGCTTTAATATGATAACCTATCTCTTTTTCTATCATGGCTTTCCACATTTTGAACATCTCGAATACTTCTGATTTTTCTCTGAGAGCATAGAACCAAGTCTTCCTTGTCGCATCATCAATGAATGTGACAAAATATCTCTTACCACCATAAGAGAGTTCCTGAGCTGGTCCCAATACATCCGTATGAACCAACTCTAATTTTTTACCTTTATTCTATCGCCCATTCAATTGAAAACTGACTGCCTTTTGTTTTTCATAAATGCAAC